AGAAGTTTTACCTGAAATCTTACTGAGAGATCCCATGGTGGAAGGATTCCAGGCCGAGAACAGTTGCTGTCCCCAGTTTACTGGAGTCTGAAGCACAGAATGTCGAGTACCCATCAAGTGCCTGTAGTGGAATCACTGGCCAAGGGAGCATTAGAACTCAGGTGCTCCCAGTGCCCGGATTCAAATTACTAGGCTGTATCCTTCTGAAAACAGCAAATCCCCAGACATCTCCAGCACTCACTGAGGTTACACAACCCAGGCCATCAAGGTCAAATAAGTCTATTTCTTCTACACATCTTCTCCCCTGGAAGCCCTTTCTTCCCCTGTCAACAATAAATAATCAGGGCTTTACTAAGCAAAAGAATACACAGGATTTTATTGCCTAGAGAAAATTCTCTGCTGTCTTCATTCTGTAAATGGTATTAAGGAATTTAGAGATGGTAGTGAGATGCCATATGTATTCCTAACATTTTTTTCCCCACATTTTCAGATCTCATCCTGACAATCTGCAGATCTGAACCGTTTAGACTAAGGCTCTTGACTTTTGCAACTGTGTCTCTGGTATTCCCACTCTGTTATGAGAATGGAAGCTCAGATTTCACCTGTACTTCCTCTGTGTTGCTCACAGTGCTTTCTACACTTAACCTGTGTCCAAAATCAAGCAACTAATCATTTGCAGAGCCTTGTTCAAAATGGTTCACAGTCTGTTTTTCTTATGGTAGTATTTTAAATGATATTTAGTTTAAGATACTGTAAAGGTAATTGGTATTTTTTGGTATATGTTTGTATTTTTTAATTAACAGCAATTTTGTATATTTATAGTGAATGACATGATGTGTTGAACTATGTACACACTGCAGATGACTAAATTGAGCTAATTAGCATACACATTACTTCACATGCTTTTTTTGGCAGTGAGAACACGTAAGATCTATTGTTTTCAGTACATTGTTATTAACTATAGCTACCATATTATATGCTAGATCTCTTGAACTTATTTTTCCTGCTCTATGTCCTTTGATTAACATCTCTCCAATGTCTCCCTACTGCCCAGCCCCTGATAATGACCATTTTGGCTTCTATGAATTTGCCTGTTGTAGATGCCACATGTAAGTGAGATGATGTATGTGCCTTTCTGTACCTGGCTTATGCCACTAAATATAATGTCAGTGTAGATACAAAGTATATGTTCTTGCCCAATGCATTACATATGGCGCAGCAATAACACAAAATACCACCCTGTGTGTATTGTGTGAACATGTTACACGTGTATACATGTGCTCTTGTGTAAATGTGTATATAGCATTTATTTTGTTTCACAAATACCTGGAAGCAGCTTAGAATTTTTTAATGTCCTAAATAAAAAACTTCTGATTGGCATGGTGGCGGTGTATGTAACCATAATGCTTTGGAACCAAAATTTGGGTAGAAACTTTTCATAAAAGGTCAACAAGTGAAAAGCTTAAGTGTGTTTCTGTGTGACAAGATGCCATCCTAGTTTGGTTTCCATGCTGTATAACCCATGTTTACTCGTTGTTCAAAAGCCTGCTTTAAGTGGGTACTACTTACAAATATTACATAACCGTTTTTACATCATCAGCATTATCACCCTACTGCCTGGAAATGTGTCCTGTGACTAATCAAAAATGATTAAATGATACTCTTCAGGAGGCTTGCTTTCAATGTCTTTGCAATTACTTTTAGTCATAAATGGAGACCCTGTTTAATTGTGACCTACAGAAAAACTAAAACCCAAACAAACAAACAACAAAAAAACAACTGCTCAAATGAGAGTTCAGATCCACTTTCTTCCACTCAGATTATGTGATACAAAACAAAACACAGCAACTGAAGCAGCCACAGACATCTTGGCAGCCTGGGAAGATGACATCCAAATTCTGCCGCTCTGGTTCCAGGGGGGTTAGACGGGCACCACTGTAGAATGTTTGGCTGCTCCTGAGACTCACTGGGAGGTGCAGCTGTTACTCCCTCCCAGATAAAGTGACACACGAGCAGAAACAGAATCCCAATGAGATAGAAACGAATTCCTCTTTCCCTCCAGCCTGCTCAAAAATAAAAACACTGCTGGAAAAGACCAAAATGCGGTGAGCAAAAGATCAAATCTGTTTTAGTTACAGCAATTGCTTCAGTGTCATAAGACGGATTTTCTTCTCCTGCTTCACAAATGTCAAAAGAACTACTTTCAAAACCCACAGCATATAGTTAATTCATTTCTTTATATTCAAGTATTTCCTGAATCTATTCACACAACAATACATCAAAGAAAATGTCAAAGCTTTAGTTTACTAAAGTTGAATATCTGAAGAATCATATAGTAGACTTACATCCTCAGTATTATTTTTTATTGATTAAAGCAATATTTTTAAACAGTGAATTTTAACCACAATTAAAAGAGCAAAATAGGAATCATAAAATTACATAGAACATTACAGTAAAAATTAAATACATTACAGTTTAATTTATATAAAATACATCCTCTAGGGAATATGAGGTTAAAATTATAGCCCTAATTATACAATTTTTTTCTATACTTATTTTTGTCTTCCTTCCTTCCTTCCTTTCTTTCTTGAGACAGAGTCTCAAGCTGTTTCCCTGGGTAGAGTGCTATGGTATCACAGCTCATAGCAACCTCCAACTCTTGGGCTTAAGCAGTCCTCTTGCCTCAGTTTTTATATTTTAGTAGACATGAAGGCTCACTTTTGCTCAGGCTGGTCTCGAACTCGTGAGCTCAAGCAATCCACCTGCCTCAGCCTCCCAGAGTGCTAGGATTACAGGCATGAGGCACGACACCTGGCCTACTTGTTTGTCTTTCAAAGGTAGATAATGTTGAACACAATGTGAAAAATTTACAAACCAGTGTGGTATTACCATTCAAAGAATATGGTAACTCTTAAGATAAAAGCAAATATAAGAAAAATACATTGTTAAAATCTAAGAATAATGAACCTAAATAATTACATTACAAAGATTACATAACCTAACTCAGAAATAAAAAAGTATTATTTTACCATGATGTCACTGATTATTTTTGTCTGGGCTTTGTATAACATTCACTCATTCAGTATGTTTAATGAGTAATTACTGAACTCTCTTTATTCTCTAGGGAATGTGTTGGCCCTACGAAAGCACTGGAAAGCAGAATAGACACAGCTGCTGCCCTCACAGAGCTAACAGTCTAGTGGGGAAGACAGACAGGAATATAGGCACTTCTGACACAGCATGAGAAGTTCTGTGCTTGGCCTCCCATCCAAGAGGAAGTGATATCTTTGTTGAGTCCCATAGTGTCAGAGGAAGTAGATCAGGTGATGAAGGACAGAGAAGGCAGAAGAGTGTTTCAGGTGGAAGAAAAGGCAACGCCAAGGCCCTGAGTGCAAGAGAGCATGGTCTACTCTGCAGCCGTGGTTTCCAGCCACAGTGAGAGCTCACCCATCAGTGGGGGAATGAAGACAGCACGGTAAGTCTAATTAATGAGTTTATGAACTTCTTATTTCCTGGCACTAAAATGACCCCTCTTCAGTGAAATGACCATGATAGTAGATAGCATTTTTTTTTTAAATAGGTGATCTTATTTTTAAAATTAAAAAATCAAAACTGGTGTATAAAGCCTTTAAGTCTGGGAATCACTGTTTGAAGACTAAACTAGAACATGTTTAATATGCTTAAAGGGAGAGGAGGAAAGGGAGACATGAAGAGATGAAGTGAAAGAGGAAGGCAGGAGTTAGATCTTCAAGGGCCAGGAAAGAACGGTGGACTTTAACCTCAGAGCAGTGGGAATGACCTGAAGCGGGGTGCTGAGGCTCTGACCACATGTGCCAAGGATCCTTGTGAGGTGCTGTGTGTGAAGCGTGTGTGGGACAGGGTGAGACAGACGCAGGAAGCCAGACGGGCAGGACTGTGTCATGCCAGAGAAAGGAGATAGCAGCCAGCCTTGGGACCCAACCAGGGGTCACTGAGTAGAAGACTGCGGGAGATAATAGGATTTACGATTTGTTATACTGCATAAGGAAAGTTGTACGGTGAAGGCTGTTGTCTAGGCTTTCTCCTCGGGAAACTGAATTGATCATTGTGCTAACTACTGACCTAGACCTAGACGAGGCAAAGAGAAAGCTTTTCCTGTGGACACAGGTAGTGAGTTCATTTGGGGACATGTTGAATCTGAGGTGTCTTTGTGTTCAAAGGTCTGTCAGGCCAATTGTCTGCCTGGGTCTCAAGCACATGAGAGAAAGAGCTGAGCTTTGGATATAAATTTTGCAGTCCTTGGCAAAATGATTGAAGTGTGGATGTGGATATAGGAATGGATAAAATTTCCCAGAGAACAATGCATAAGCAGAGACGTGGGCTTAAGATATATTACTAAGGGACTGGTCGGAGATGAGCAGAGTGGCCAGAGAGGAGGGGAGGAGGGCCAAGAGAACAAGATATTGTGAAAACCAAGGGAAAAGGGAGGACACAACAGTGTCAGATGCTGCAGGAAATGACTGGATGGGGCACTGAAGGATGCTACTTGAATTAAGGAACAAAGACGTTGTTAGGGCCCCTGAGATTACCCGCACAGGCGCAGATGCCAGACCGCAGTGTGTGAACCTGCAGGCAGGCAGAGCTCTTCTAAAATGCAGTGTAGCCAAAACACAGAGGGGAAATGGGCCAGCAACTGGCAAGAGATGTGGGTTTGAGAAAGTGGTTATTCACTTTTTAAACACAGAATCCTGATCATGGATATTGTGGGAGCCACTTGATAGGGAGAGTTTGAAGGATTATAGCAGAAGAAGATAATTAATAGAAAGTCAAATATAAAATACCAACTATCCTTAAAAAATGTGAAAGTCTTTAAAGAAATAAATCCTGATGTTCCATGAGAACACTAAACCCACCTATGAAATTGTCAGTGGACTTAAACACACTTAATGATCCAAAATGATTCCAAGAAATTCTTTGAGGAAATCACATTTTAAAATATTTTTGAAAATATGTTTGAAAATAAGTTATGGCAATTTTAGCTCTTGTCCATAGAGATCATACTCCTTAAATAAGAGGTATCTTTGAATAGGTGGTGGTAGAGGAAGCTTCTTCATTGAGGCTGGCTGGCAGAGTCTCTGGAGTCCCATTAGTCTACGAATTTTTAACCGACACAAATGCTTTAATGAACAAGGATTCTCTAAAATGAATAGGGAAAACAAGCAAGCATTGAAAAAAAAATTAGTGGATTGACCTCTAAAGTACAGACTGTTTTAGAATAACATGAATAGTATGCTTCTGAAAAACATGTATGCACTTTTCAGTAACTAATTTTAAGTGAAATTTAAATTGCAATTAAGTATTTTAGACATTCCTCTAGAACAATGATTTTCAGCCTATGTGCCATGGCACACTGGGGTGCCATGAAAAGATCTCAGGTGTGCTGTGAAAAATATTAAACATCATTAATTAAATCAGTTTCAAAAGAAGTTCAAAGGACGGTATATTCTTTCTTTTTTTTTTTTTTTTTGCTCTTTTGTTATCAACATAACGTAAGTGTGCTGCAGAAGTTTAACTATAACTAAGTTCAAGTGTGACATGAGATAAAACAGGTTGAAAAACACTGCTCTAGAATGTAAACTCCATGAGAGCAGGGAGTTGGGCTCATAGTAGATAGACGTTCAACTAGAATTTGTTCAATGAAAGAGTAGACTTCCTTTAAGAAAGCCAACACTTGCATAACCTGTTTATTTTTTAGAACCATCATAGGAGCCAGTATGATGGCACACACCTCTAGTGCCCCAGCTACTCAGGCGGCTCAAGCAGGAGGATCACTTGAGCCTAGGAGTACTAGACTGTTGTGTGCTGTGATTGCTCCTACAAGTGGCCATTACACTCCAGCCTGTGCAATATGGGGTGGCCATAAAGTTCATGTGCAATTTAAAATGTAGATAACATAGTAAACAGAAAAAAAAAAAACAGCAAAAATAACTTTCTGATGAATAATTATCCAGGAAACATTGATGCAAGTGATTCCATCACATCTCTGAGTCAATTGGAAGTTTGTTTCCAGTGTCCAATAACAAAACGTTTCATATTTTCAAAAGAAATACTAATTTTATTTGAATATCTATAGTCAATCTTTACTTTCAATTCTTATTCTATCTATGTTGTAATTATAATACTGATACATTATACCAGCACTATGAACTAACGAAAGGGCAGCATAGCGCACAGGCTTGGATGTAGATTCTGGACTCAGTTGGTTTGGATGAAAATCCTCACTCAGCCCCTTAGTAACCGTGTGACCTTGGGCAAGTTACTTACCTCTGTGATTTTAGTATTCGCATCTGTGAAATGTGTATTACAGTGGTATTTACTGCCTACAGTCATGTGAAGATTAAACAAATTAAGTCATATAAAGTATTAGGAAAGTGCTTGGCACATTGTCACCATTAAATAAAGGTAACTATCATTCACTTCAATTAATAAATATGATCACATTTCCATTACGATTGATATTACAAGCATTCAAATTATCTTTTTAAAATTAAAACAATGTTTTCCAAGAATAATTAAGGCAACATTATTTATTTATTTATTTATTCATTTATTTAAGAGACAGAGTCTCACTATATTGCCCTTGGTAGAGTGCTGTGGCGTCACAGCTCATAACAACCTCCAGCTCTTGGGCTTAAGTGATTCTCTTGCCTCAGCCTCCCAAGTAGCTGAGACTGCAGGCACCTGCCACAATGCCTGGCTATTTTTTGTTGTTGTTGTTACAGTTGTCCTTGTTTAGCTGGCCTGGGCTGGGTTTGAACCCTCCAGCCTGGATGTATGTGGCTGGTGCTGTAACCACTGTGCTACAGGCACCAAGCCAAGGCAACATTATTATTACCAAAATAGGTAGGAAAAAAAAATTCACCTTTCAAAAAAATAGTATTTTATTTTTTTCCCCTAACAAAGACACTGTCATTCATGTACCTGGAGGAATTCTGACATCCAGTGGCTAACCACGCTCACAGCAATAAACTGGCTTCCAACCTGGTTGGCAATGTTGGAAACAACAAAAAACCTCCCGGTTTTATTCTTACTTGGATTGCCTTTCCAAGGTTATTAGAATTAGTGTTTCTTTTGCATATGGACAATTAATTCCCATTTAGAATCGAAATCTCTTCTTTCTATGTCAGGGAGTGCAGTGGTATCATAGAAAGGGCCTGTGTTTTGAAGTAAGACAGTCAAGGGTTCAAATCCTTGCCTGATCTATGTGTAAATTTGGGAAATCAATTTATCTAACCAAGCCTTTGAGTTTTTTCCTCATAATCTCCAAACTGTTTTAACTTTTTCATTGCAAAATAAAATACAGATAGAGAAACTACACACACGTATAGTTTTCTAAGTCACTACAAGTGATTAGGTGACCATGTTTAGTTATCTCCAAGGTCCAAGGTCATAAAACTGAACACTGGCAGACATCCTAGAATTTCCTCAACAATCCACCCAATCTTCACCCCTTCCTTCCCCCATAAGTAACTATTTAATACATTCTGACTTGTATGCCAATCACTTCCTTCAGTGTTTCATTATCTAAGGGCACTATCCCTATGTTATACTATTTTTTTTTATTTTTTAATTTTTTTTAAGAGAGAGTCTCACTATGTTGCCCTCGGTGGAGTGCTATGACGTCATAGCTCACAGCAACCTCAAACCCCTGGGCTTAAGCCATTCTTTTGCCTCAGCCTCCCAAGTATCTGGGACTACAGTGCCCACCACAATGCCCAGCTATTTTTTTGTTGCAGTTGTTTAGCTGGCCCAGGCCGGGTTCGAACCTGCCACCCTTAGTGTATGTGGCTGGTGCCATAACCACTGTGCTACAGGTGACGAGCCCCTGTGTTAAACTATTGTCAACATTTCTTTGAAAATTTTGACATATTCTTTAAATATTTTTTAATCTGCAGGTTCTTCTCTTCATTTTCCATTTTTCCTTTCAATTCATTTTTGAAGAACCCGAATGTCTCATACTTTCCTAAAGCCTGAAGTTTACTAATTATATTTTTGTGGTACAGTTGCACTGTCTTCTCTGTTTTTTATAAATTGATAGTTGGATCCAGGGACTTGATCAGATTTAAGTGTGATTTCTCTGACAAACTGTAACTGGAGGCCACAGAATGTGATATTAGCAGTAGTTGATGTTAATAATTATATCCTTTAGTTTACTGGGGATAAACTGCAAATTTACTGGAGCTAAATCCTTGGGTTGTCAACTTACAGAGGTTCTGGGAACTACAAAATGGTGACATCTAATTACAGGTAGGTAATTTCTTTTACATTTATTCTTTGGAGTATTTTTATTAAGAGATGCTTTTGTTCATCTACTCTTTTGTTGCTAATGGCACAAATCATATACACAAGGCAGAATAATTGCTTAAATCTTTCTTTAACTCATTTTTCAGATAATAAATAGATTTTCTGTTGTTCCCTGTAGCTGACCAGTTCTCACCTTAGTATATTGAATAGGTTTCAACTCACTGAAATAATCATCCTATCGAATCTTAAACTGTCCCATCTTTGGCTCCTGAATTCTTTTGACATAATTCTTGAAGTATTTGACGTTTCTTCACTATTTGGTATCCAGATGTTTATCTTATACATTTCTTTCCCTAGGTATGAAATAATTTATTTCTCTGAAAAACCTTTGCTTCTTTTTGTATAAAATGCCACTTCCAGGCCAAAATCTGAGTCCTAGGGATGGTGATTGTGACTAGGTTCATCATTATCTCTAAGCCTTCTCTGGAGAGACATAGACAAATGCACAAGACTTAGCACAAATGTATCCACACATTTTCAAGGTAAATAGCTTGGGAGTTAGTATTAACACTTCTAGTTTGAATTGAGGACTGCAGGATTTTTCTTTAAGCTCTTTGTATTGCATCTATACTTTCTTCTACACTGAAAATCTCATGTCAAGGATATAAACAATGATATTGAAATATTCCTTAATTGTTCATTTATTGAATACATATAATTCTCAGAATAATAATATTAACGTTATGACAACATTGGTATCTTAAAATATTTGAAAATAAATATGTACTTTATTATCAAATATGACTTATTTTATTTACCAATATTTAAAAATACATAGTTGGGCCATATAGACTTTATCAAAGCATATAACCATTACATGTTACATTTTATTCCTTTCAAGTCTCATTTAAACTTTGTATTCTGTTTAATGCTAATTGTGTATAATACTAGTCCTTACGTTGTTATCTTTCCAATTATTGTGAGTTGTGTAAAGGTCACATCATAGTGAATCCTTCAGAAAACAGAGAAATGAGATTGCCTGAGTTCTCTCACGCTGACAGCGATTTGCCTGCATTGATAATTGAAGGTCAGTTTTGATCTGTATCCATCCTTGGTTCACATCCTCCTTCCATGGACAGTCTTAAATATGTTACTCTATCTTATTTTTGCATAAAGTATTGTTGGTAAAAGATTTAATAATAAGCATTTTTTCTCCCATAACTCACTTGTTCTTTTTGCCTATACACCCAAAGGATATAGTAATTTGTAACATGTAGTGTCAAACTTTCCTTTTTTATTACAGAAAATGTTTCTTAAAATTTAGATTTTTGGATTTGTTCCTTTTCACAGAATATTGTTACTCATATATTAACCCTCCACTTTCTGTCTTTAATATTTGTCACTATCCTTAAATTCCTTTTCTATATTGCTTCATTTCTTTTGATTTAAAAAATTTTCTCCCATTTCCTCCTTTATTTCTGTCAAGATATTATCTGCTATGCTACTACTTCTTATTTTCATTCTAGTTCAGTCTTCATATTTGAAATTAATTTCTTTCTTTTTATTTCTAATTCTTAGTTCTGTTACCTCATTTCTGAATTTTTCTAATTTCAATGCATGTTGCTTTTTCATGTCTTACATAATTTTTCTCACATCCTTTGGCTAAAGTTATTAAGTATTTTTAATTTTAGACATGATGCCAAGCATCTAACAAGCTTATTTCATTTTATTTATTTATTTATTTTTAGAGACAGTCTCATTTTGTCACCCTCAATAGAGTGCTGTGGCATCACAGCTCACAACAACCTCCAGCTCTTGGGCTTAGACGATTCTCTTGCCTCAGCCTCCTGAGTAGCTGGGACTACAGGTGCCCAACACAATGCCCAGCTATTTTTTTGTTGCAGTTTGGCTGGGGCTGGGTTCAAACTCGCCACCCGCAGGATATGGGGCCGGTGCCCTACCCCACTGAGCCACAGGCACCGCCCTATTTTTTTATTTTTTTTGAGTGAAACATAGTTTCACTTTGTGGTCCCTGGTAGAGTGCCATGGCATAATAGCTATAATAGCTCACAGCAATCTCAGACTCTTGGGCTCAAGAGATTCTCTTACCTCAGCCTCCCTAGTAGCTGGGATGAGAGGCACTCACCACAATACCCAGCTATTTTTAGAGGTGAGGTCTCGCTCTAGTTCAGGCTGGTCTCAAACTTGTGAGCTCAGGCCACCTGCCCGCCTCCCAGAGTGCTGGGATTATAGGCATGAAACGCCACGCCCAGCCTAGGTATTATTTCTTTAAATCCCCACAATATCCTTTTAAGGTAAATAAAATTCTAGCTCCATTTTGCAATGAAAAAATGTAGGTATAAAAAAGAATAAATAACTTGCTCAAAGTCACACATCTAGTATGACTATCTTGGTCTTTTTACAAGAAAAAGCCCTCCACCCTTTAGACAAGCAAAAATGGTAACAATAAATTGTTGCTTATTTCAGTGAAGATAGCCCTGAATTTTGTTTGTATTCTATAGCCCAGAAATTCTACTCTTAGGCATGGCTGCAACTATACCCCACCCATTTGGGGCTATTTGACCTTAGAACTCAATTTCTAGGCTCACAATGCTACATTATTTATTAGATTCTCTAAGATTCTAGTTATAGTTGCCACAAGTCTTTTTTATTATAGCACTCCTTGCAGAGGAGGCTAGTTTAAGCGTATCAAGAGTGCCACATTATTTAAATGTCATATAAAGTTCTTTGATGCTTTTTAAGGCTCCCTCCATGACACTAATGTCTAAGTAGTTTTCAAAAGTTTATTTTTCCAAACTTGTAGTTTGAAAGAGAAAAATCTCTCCAACAATTCTTTTCTAGTTTCTATGGCATTTGGAGTAATTTAAAATGTAACTTTCATGGAAACTTTTTAAATATATTCATTTTCTTTTTTTATTGAATTTTTAATTAAAATCATAACTGTATACATTTATGGGGTATAATGTGATGATTTGATATATCATGTGGAATACTTAAACTGATTAATATAACCATTACCTCACTGACTTGTTTTTTGTGGTAAGAGATTTAAAATTTACTCTTAGTCATTTTGAAATATCCCCTTGCATTGTGCACACTAGGTGTGACCCCACCAAATGCCCTTCTTCCTTCCACCAATTGCCCTCCCTCCTCTTCTCTCCTCCCCCTGACTAGGATGTTTATTGCAGCTCACTTCATAATTGTCAAATCATGAAAGCAACCCAAATGCCCATCAACCCATGAATGGATTAACATATTGTGGTATATGTATACATGGGATACTATTTAGCCATAAAAAAGATGGAGACTTTATATCTTTTATGTTTACCTGGATAGAGTTGAAACATATTCTTCTTAGTAAAGTATCTCAAGAATGGGGAAAAAAGTATCCATTGTACTCAATACTATTATGAAACCAATATATAAACATTTATATACTCATATGAAACATTTTCATAGTAACTAAGCTCATCTAGACAATACACAATGGATTGCCTATAAATACAAATCTTGGATGGTAAGATTTTATCAATAAAGACCTGAAAGAAATCGAAAAGGATAATTCTAATTCCTTCTCATTTATTCATTTACCCTATAAGTCTTGATAAAGTATGTGCTGCTTACTAGGCACTATGTAAAGTACTTTTTATGCTTTGAGAGCATAAAAAGAAAAAAACCCCAGATCCCTGCCTACATGGAGACTGCAGACTACATATTATGGATGTTAATTTTCAAAAAGTGAATTCTAGTCAGAATGTTAATATAGCTACACCATTACTCGTTATTGCAACTAAAGAGTTGGAAAATATCAAGAAAAACAACAAAAAAAATATGTCTTAGAACAGAGGTGGTGTGAAGGATGATTTAACAAACCCAGAGAATTCTGAAAATAAAGTAGCACTGAAAAAGTGTTAAAGAAGACATTAAGAAACTTCTCCCACATACATTTTTAATTAAAAAAATTGTAGGCAAAACTTGTTTCTTACCTAATATTTGGCGGATTTCTGGCCATTCTCTCTGTACTTCCAGCACTGACTTCAGTTTGGCACACAGAGGGACGTAATCCATGTAATCTATTAGAACTCGAATAACACTGCCGACCAAGTGCTTCATCCAAGGCACTGTGATAAACTCACAAAACTGAGAGGATTGAAACAATTTAATTAATAACACCAAAATATACCATGTATAAATAATTTTGTTATAAAAATTACTCTTTATTTTTCACAGAAAATAAGAGATCCCTCCTAGTAATGAATAACAATGAAAAATTAGTTGCTTGCTTGTTTCTGTGAAACTATCAGTCCTGAAGACATAAGCACATGCCCGGCTCTGGAATGACTGTCGTCAATATAACAGGAAGAGTCTGGCTCTGTTCCAGCCAGCCCTAACATTCCACCAAATAACTGTGACAAATTGCACACATTTTCATGATCTACATTCAGTTTTCAATTCAAGAAGAGTAAGCAACATCTTCTTGGTTTTTTTCTGTTTTCTTTTTGGCTAGCTTTATGCTTATATCCCCATATTACTATAAAGAAAAATTCAAGAATACAAAAACGTTTAAATTAGAGTTGATTTTTCTCTTCTTGTAACATCCCTAAAGCAGTGAAAGGTTACAGGAGTTATGAGAGTGGCCCAATATGAAGCAGAAAAGGATGTAGCTCACCGGGTTGTCTTTTATTACACAAGATGTCCATCCTGGCAGAACGTCTTCCTGTATCTCTGACCACACAAACGAATTACCAAAGATGTCCCCGTGAGTGCAGTCAAAGCACATTTCCGCATGGTAGCCATTATTCAGCAATAGTCTCAGCATCATTTCATCGTTTAGGGCATATTGAATGACACTGGGGAAACGAGTGTCATTCACGTGCATAAAATAACAATTGACATTAGCCCCGTGGGAGAGAAGCAGCCGGACAATTTCATGGTTATTGGCCCTCACTGCCACAAGGAGACAATTGAGGGGATCGAGGTTTGGGTCTGCCCCTGCAGCCAGAAGGACTTCCGTGCAACGGATGTCATTATTAGAAACGGCAAAATACAGCGCAGTCTTCCTGTCATCTTCATAGTTCTGGGAAATGTGATCAGCAAGGAGGGTATTGACGTCAAAGCCATTTTCAATGAGCAGTTCAAGGCACTGTGCGTTTTGTCCGTCTGCTGCTGAGTGAATTGGTGTTAGCCCACTTTTCCGAATTGCGTGTTTGGATGTTACTGGGATAAGATATCTCAGTGCGCTAAAAATAATAATAATAATTATAATAATAATAATGATAAGGAAAATCAAGAAATTGAATACATCAGTTCCCTTCCTAGGCAAGTGAAGGCAATTTGTTTAGCTTCCCTTAATTTCTGTAGATAATCTTATTCTGAAACACTTAACTTTTGTCCGTCAAGCTACTACTATTTAGTTTAGTGTGATTTAGTTCAGTTTTGATTTACTTTCCTATTCTAAATATTCCTGGGAAACATGCTGGATCTTATATGAATGGTCCTTGAATTTTGGATCATTCAGAAACACTCCCCATTTTTCAGTTCTTCTGTGGACAGTACAATTTTTACAAGAAACCACTGCTATGTTATACAAAAATCTAAAAGTAAGCCTTTCTGTTGCCCTAGAAGAATGCTTCAAAATTTTGACCATTAGAATCATGGAGTCATAGGATGTGACCTCAGATGTCATTTAGTCCAACAACTTCATTTAACTGAAGAACAATATGAAGTCTGGAGAGGTAAAATGACTTGTCTAAGGTCCCACAGTTAGAGGTAGAGCTGATTTAGAATTTAGTCCTCTTGATCTCTTGTTAATTATTCCCCTTTCACTGATTCCTAAGAAATCTGTTTTTGTTTTTAATTGTTGGAGAATCATTGAGGGTACAAAGAGCCAGGTTACATGGCTTGCATTTGCTGGATAAAGTCCCTTTAATAATAGTATCCCACCCCCAACAGGTATGTCACACACTGTGGCCTCCCACCCTCTTCCCTCCTTCCTTCTCTCCATGCCTTCATACCCCTTCCCCCCACCATGTACTGGCATCAATTATTCTCATAACAGAATACATTGGATTCTTGCTTCTCCATTCTTGTGATGCTTTATTAAGAAGAATGTATTTCAACTCCATTCAAATTAATATGAAAGATGTAAAGTCACCATCTTTTTTAGTGGCTGAATGGTATTTCATGGTATACATACACCACAGTTTATTAATCCATTCCCGGATTGGTGGGCATTTAAACCAAACAAGAACATTCACTGGGGGAAAGAATCCCCATTCAAGTTTTATAACATTGACCATGTACATCCTGTGTTTCCATATAACTTGCAATTGAACTATTAACCAAAAGAAGAGTCTTTATTAGTCCATCCATCTTACATCAGTTGAATTAAGATCACAGCTTATGTTTCTAAGAACATGTGATAAAAAGTTGTAAATTTCGCACTTGACTAACCAACTAGATATGCATGAGCGCCACAAGCAAGGATAACCTGATCTCTCGTGCCTAATTCGGGGCTATCATGTGTGAATTTATGAACACTGGGAGTAAATCCAGATAAACTTTAACTACATCGCCCTTAGCGTCACTAACACGTCATCGGCCACTTAGCCAATGTGGCCACTATAAACTGTCCATCCTAATTACTTCAAAGTTTTTCAGTTTATGACATATTCAATTGACTGCAACCTTCTACTCATGTTGGGTAGTTTAATATAGTGATTCTAGACTTCTATTGCTGTGTTCATTATGGCACATTTTGTGATTTAAAAATTGATCCAACTGTTTGGAATAAAGAAATCTAAACTCATAATGAAATTTTCTATTGAAGAATAGATTTGACATGATATAGTGGACATTATAATAATCTGGAGATGTTATGAAATAATTATAATAGTGATATCATCATTACAAATTTTAATCTTTTATCAAGGGCAACATTTTTAGAAACTCTAACTTTTTGTTGAACACTTTTTTAACATAAAGATACTCTTGGGTGGCTTGTGTAGAATTCTCATAACTTAATTCCTTTAAAAAATGTCTTTTTATTTTAGAATTACTATAAATTCATTTTGTGGAAGTTATAAGAATATGAAAAGAAGGAAGAAACTCCAATGAGTTTTAAGCATCTAACTATAAAACTTGTGAACATTTTTACTATTTCTTTTTGAATTTTTAGAGTATATTACATAGAGAGAGACTTGTGATTATACCATATATACAAATTTGCTTTTTTTTTTTTTGCAGTTTTTGGCCGGGTCTGGGTTTGAACCCACCACCTCCGGCATATGGAGCTGGCACCCTACTCCTTTGAGCCACAGGCGCCGCCCACAAATTTGCTTTTTTTAAGTTAAAATGATCATGGTGTGATTTATCACTCACAGATAATGTCCCTCGTAGGCAGCCCGGTGTATGGGAAGATGTCCTGCTCTGTTAGGCACGTTTCCGCTCCCTCCGTATTCCAGCAGGAGGGCAATGCAGTCGGGATTGCCACCTCCTGCCGCCTCAAACAGCACCGATGCCCCATCATCCGCCAAAGCAAACACATCGCCACCTGGCAGGATAAACGCGAGGCGTGATACTAACCGGCAGCCTTGTGAAGACAGTTGCCTTAAAAACAACCCGTTGTTTTCCTTTCTGGTTAGAACGTCAGAAGTACACAATTGAGAGCATCTATGTTCTTGATATTTTTGATAGACAGTTACTCAGCAGCCTTCATTTAATTAAAAAATCTTTTGGGTCACAAAAGCATGAGCGAAACTAGCAATTCCATTTTCATGAGTGGCAAATGCTTTCAGAAAAAGGCGTCACTAGACGTCTTTACTTAACAATGGTTAATGCTATTTCAATTCAACAAACATTTAATATTTATCGACTACCTTCTAGGTGCAAACAGTGTGTGGGACTCTGATTAGTAAGTCTGATTACCTTTAAGGAGCTTAGAGGGGGAAAGGAACAAACTACCACGACACAACACACACTGTATGACATTCACATGACTTAGGCTGGGAGGGATGGTGTTGAAGGCAGAGGTCTGTGTTTGAATTGTGGCTCTGCTTCATACTGTGAGAATTTGGGGCAAGCCATTTACATCTATGTTCCTCTATCTCTGCATCTCTAAACTGGAATAATACAGCTTATTTCACATGACTTATTTGATAATTAAATAAGTTTGCTCAGAAATGTTTGCTCTTTTCTCCATGGAGGATCCTTGTGGGATCTGTGGTTCTAGCCTTTATTGGCAGATGAGAAAACTGATGACCGGAGGTTCAACTAACCAGGCTGGGATCTCCCAGGAGCAGGTGGCCCCAACCAGTTTAGAAATGAGGTCTCTTAACTCCCGGTTATATAGTTGTGCAAAGCACTTGGAGGATATAAAGGGGGGCAATGTCACAATCAGTTGAAGAGAATTAGGAAAGGATCAGGGAGGTGGTATCTCAAGAAATTGACTTTGAATTGTGCTGGAAGGAAGGCAAAGATGTGACCAAAACCAAATAGAGGGGATTTCAGGTGTGTTTGGGAATATTGCTGGTCTATTGTGGCTGGAGTGCTAGATCCAGGATAGGCAGGCAGAGTAAATGATCAACCTGGGAAACCACTCCGGATGATGTTGGAGGGATTTTTTCAGTAGTTCACACTATTGTAGCTGACCTTTAGGGGAGGGACCATGTTGTAAGATGTAGCATAGATTCTCTGATGGGGAGAATGTTTAAAAAATGCTTGCACTGGTCCAGGAAGATGTCAGGGACCTGACGAGGATAAGCAGATGGACTGCCAAAA